TGAACTACTTGCATGTGAAGAATTTGAAGATCTTATGTCATTATCTAATATGGGAGTAACTTTGAATGGATCCTAACATATGAAATATAAAAATATAAAATCAAATTTCATTAAAATAAACATTTTTTTTTGGTTTATAATCCAAATCAAATAGTTATGACCATTACCTCATCATAAATGTTCATGGTCTCCATACTAACAAAAGTGGAACGCATGTCGCCAAAAGATTTTAAAATCTCATCACATGATGGCCTACTTTTAGCATTGCGAGACAATAAACATGTAATTAAATTTCTAAGTTGACTAGAAATCCTACGATTACTAGTCATACCATTATCTGGAAATGATACGCTTAAATAAAGAAATTAAATAATTTAAGTAATTTAAATAATTTAAGTAATTTAAACAATTTAAATAATTTAAATAATTAAAATAATTAAAATAATTAAAATAATTTAAATTATGCAAATTATGCAAATGAATATATACATATATATAGTCAATAAAAATAGATAGTCAATAAAAGTGTATTATGAGTCACATAATGTTATAAAATGAAAAAAATACAAACTTTTTAAAATTTATAATATCATGTTTCAAAAGATCAACGTCATCAATTTGACGATATGGAAGTTTTGAGTAACATAAATAATAAAGTACCATTCCAAGTGACCACATATCAGATTTTTGAGAGTATTCTTTACGATAGCGACCTCTTTCATCAACTGTATAAATATAAAAATTCCATTAACTATATTAACTAGTGTTTACATTAACTAGTGTTTACATAACTAGTGTTTATTTAACTTTAATACATGATATACTTGTATGTTGTATTTACCGGCTAATAGTTCTGGTGCCATAAATTCTAGTGTTCCTGTAGCACCAGTTCTATCACGTTCGGTGAGTTGATCTAAAATTTCACATTCTCCAAAATCGGATATCAATACTCTTGGTCTAATAATAATATAATATTCATTTAAACGTAATTATTATCAAATAAAAATATGGTAAAATACAGTAAGTAGTAAATACGGTAGAGGATATTGACATACGAACATTCCAGTCAAGTCTT